AGAAAACTTCGCTCTATAATCAGCTGATTGCTGCATGCTAATTACTTAGTCACTTAGTAGCCCTGTAACAATGACTCAAAACACAACTTATATTGGTAACTAAGAATACAACACAATAAAAGTCATAAAATTTTTTATAGTTCTGTTCATTATGTTTGTTTTTCATTACGAGGTTTTATTAATATAACTTGTATTTGTAGCTAAAATCGTTGTAGATAATTAATTTCGTAAAAGTCTGTAGTTTCTGTATAACTGCTAGGGACTTCCCACTACAACCATTATTGTTACTATGACCATAAAAACATAATACTTTTCATGAAAGTTATATTTGTTTATATTTTGTGCCGTACTAGTTTCATATATTTCATATTAAAAGGAGTATATTGCGGTTAGTAATACTTAACATCGTCTTCAATTAAAAACATTTTAACAGAAGACATTATGACTTTCGAAATGAAAGGAATGTTCTATCATATACGTTACATGCAAATATTTGTTATAGGTCAGTACAGTAATGTTAGAACTTAAGCCCCTATTATAATAAAACAACGTACAAACATATATATATATATATATATATATAGTTTTATCTAAACAATATAAAATTTAAAAAAATTTCTGTAAGCAGAAAATTTATTTATTTATTAAATTCCATAAGCCAATTGAATGATCTTTCAAATATTATCAAATACTGAATTGTATTTATTATTCAGAAAGGCGTTGGTGATACTATAAATAGATGATATGTTTTAAAATTAAAAATAGAAAATTTTATATCTGCTATATATTAACAAAATTAAATTTCTAAATAATAAATTCAAAATTTTTGATATTCTGTTGTGTTTGGTTATCTTATTTACAAAATTTTTATATATAAATCACAAAGGTAAAAAAAATTTTTTTTTTAAAGAACACAGATAAAGCCACATACCTAAGCCAAAAATAATTTTTTAAAAATTGTAAAATTGATTGAAGATGAAAATTTTAGAATGTATTTTCTTTTTGACTTATATAAGAAAATTATTACTAAAATCAAGAATATGAGTTATTAAGGTATTTCAAAAATAATAGAAAATGTTTAAAGTAGTCCAAAAAGTCATAGGACTATTTACAAAAATTCATATCAATAGTGAAGTTAACTAGTAACATTTAAAACAATACAGTGAGTAAGATATGAATAAACTAATAACATGGTCAATGAAAGCTGCTAGTACACCTATAAGGAGTATAAGTATGTTTTTTTGTCCTACGAATATAGTAAGTCTATACTATTGTTACGGCTGTTATATTTTAACTCCCCTAGGATAGTTGTAGTTCGCACAACCCATTTATTTAAGTAGTTAAAATCTAATTTCCCTCCAATTTATTTGCAGCTCATCCTTTATCAGAACTAAACAAATTGCTTTTCGTAGTGGCTAATATTTCACCTCTACTTCGATTATATGGACCGAAGTTAATTTATGTTTCCTTCAGTTAACTAAATTCATTATGAAATACATATCATCCTCGTATTCGTATATATTAATATAAGTATTCCATGCATTAAAGAATATAATGTATAATATAAATTTTTGGATAACCTCAGTGTAGGGTTATATTTTTTAATTTTTTTGGTGTTGTTGTTATAGCTCTATAATCTAGGCAGAGTTTACAAAATAACCACATATAGAGGATATTAAGTTTTTTTTTTACTTTAATTTATATACTTCAATTCAAATTTGCTACATTACAAATAAAATATAATTTCCATATATAGGGTTTAAATATAGTCATACCAAAAAATTTGGTAAGATTTCACCGACGTACAATACATTCTTCAATTTCTTCTTTTGCTTTGTCTTTGTTATTCCATTAATGCAAGGCGCCAAGACATTTCACGAATTTCGTTACTAATTCTTTCTCCCATCCAGCACATAAACCGATGCTCGGACTGCTCGAGCATCGTAATACTCGAACCCTTTAAAATAGTATTTTCCATGCACCAGACCAAAAACGTTTTAGTCCACCTGTTGTTGTGGTGTTTGTTGTTGAGTTATTATAGTTAATACAATTATTTATTTTGCTTTTATTTGTTTTTGTTTTTAATAATAATTTCTTTTATGTACATATATTATATTTATATATATATATATATATATATACAGGGTGTTCTTTAAAAAGTCATATAGAAAGGGAATGCAGTTTTAATATTAATGGAGCTACGCACGTTAGGCACTTGCTTTTTTATATTAATGAGGAAACGTTCACATAATAATGAGCTCATTTATGTAACTTATAGAACTTTTATAAAATTCACTTAATAATATATCATACAAAAAATAAAATATATATTTGATATATTAAATCATTTATATACATTTTATATCAATTATATATTCAATTAATAAAAACAAAGATTTTATAAAATATTTACCACCTCAATGTCTTCGTTTACAGCTTAGTTGTTGTTTTTTTACATTTTACATATAAAACATATGATAAATATTTCAAGTTTTCGTAATTTCCCTTCTGGGAAATATATTTTTAAGATTTGCATTCAACATTTTTCATCTTAAATGAGCTGATTTATTTATAATGAGCTAATTTATATGTACTTTGTTTTGTAAATCATCCTAATTAATGGCTATTATAAATAAAATCGTCTAAATAAGACAGTATAAATGTGCTATTAATCACAAAGCAACTCTGATTGTTTTCCTTCAATGAGTTACCCCCTTAAAAGCATCATAATATCCGAATCTGTCAAATATGCCCAAAAACATTTTAGTCATATTAAATAAATATATTTTAATGGGCTAATTGATCAATAGTTAAATAATACACTTTTTTAAAAAATTGTTTGTGGTTTTTTAAAAAATTTTTTATATAAACCGATATTTCGACTATAATCTAAAGTCATCATCAGGGTACTATATAATATTAATACAATGCAACAATATTTTAGTATATATCACAAAGAAATAATTATAGAATACATTACCACTTAAACATGAATTATATATGTATAGAAAATAATTATACAATACTACGACAATAAATATAGAAAAATACATATATCGAGGAATGATATATAACCTTTTCTGGATTTGTTGAAGGTGTTAAAAAACAAAATTTTTATTACAAATATTTGATCACTGAAACAATTAATTATTAAAATAAATATATAAATAAATTCAAATAAATAATATAAATATTTAATGGATTAAAAAGTGAATTATGACTTGAAATACTTTTCGATGAATATCTTTTTAGAACTTTTTAATTAAATACGAGGGCGGTTTGATAAGTCAGTGACTTTTTGAATTTCCCGCACAGTTACTCCAAATGCAACAGTGCTGCCATCAGCTGTAATCTACCAGTGGGCAACTTTCTAATTTTGTGTTTGATAGCCGTTCAAAGCAGACAACCTCGTGAATTTTTACGAAAATGGAAAAAAGTGAATTTCGTGTGCTGATTAAGCATTCGTGGCCAAAATTCACGAACTGGGATACGAACTGCTACCCCATCCAGCATATTCTATAGATTCTCCAGGGGGCTACCCTGCGACTATTTTCTGTTTCCAAACCTAAAGAAATGGCTGAGCCGTAAGAGATTTGAGTCAAATGAAGAAGTCATTACCGAAACAAACGCGTATTTTAAGGGCTTTAAGAAAACCTATTATTTGGAGGGAATAAGAAAATTAGAAAAACGCTGGAAAAATAAAATGTTTATTTGCCGAAAAAAAATTTGTTTTATTCAAAAAGTCACTGACTTATCAAACCACCCTCGTATGTTTTAGATTATAGATCATTGTTTGACATTCTATATCTCTGTTAAAACTGAAAGTTGATTCTTTTGTGCGATATTTTTTGTTTCTTGAACGATGAAATCATTTTGTGAATTAATGTCGTTTAAGTTAGAAATGCCCTGTATATTTTTGCGTATTTATATATTATATTATATTTCATTTAGAGATCTAATCAATGGCAAATGCTTTGGTAAATAAATATTATTTTGAAGTGCTGCGCTGTGCTTTGCAGTTGATGTATTAAAATGCAAACTAAATTCAAATGCAAATAATAACATAAGAGGATTTTATTCCAATTTATTTATGGATACCACCAGTAATATTATGCGAAGTAAAATAATACCAAAATTATTTGCATTGTGGGCACTTTTCGCTGTCCTCAACACAGTTCAGTTGAGGTGGTTTAGGCCGGATTTTTTATTGGTTTGAGTTTCAAGCTGCTGATCGTTGAACAATTGACTTCTAGATTTTCCAGATACCACCGTATACATAGTTCATCAATATAATTTGTAACCTATATAAAAATATTTTTATATATGAAATATTTATTTATTGTAACTAATATTTTTATTGTCATATTTACTAGTATTTACAAGTATTTCTAAAATAATTGTTTATTTCTCATTTCGAAGCAGACGACAACGATTTTAATATATAAAATAATTAAAAATATAAAAAGCTGATAACAAGCTAAAACAAGCCGCGCATACGGGTCTCTAAATTTACGAATATACCGCAAAGGCTTCTGTACTGCTAATCAGCAGAAAAATAGACACACGAAGAAGTCGAGCAGTCGTACGAGTCCGTCGTCGAAATACGGCAGTTGAAGTTTGTAACTGCGAAAGTGCGCGACATTGATGCGAATAAATTTTTGTGTTATTTATTGAAGCGCAGGTTGTGAAATGGGAAAGATATCATTAGAGACGCATAAAATTCTTTCATCGTGTGTGCATCTTATCAGTGATAGCAAACAATCTACAAGTACAAATATCTGTAATTGTTATTGTCGCTGTTATTATAATATAAATACAAATAATTAAATCCGTTCAGTACAAATGTAATAAGCGCAGTTCAATACAAATTTGTAGACGGTTGTAGACCGTTTAAAATTTTCAAATTTTTAAATTTTTGGTTTAAATACACAACAAAATATAGTAAAAATAGTAAATAATAGTATCAAAATAACAAAATAACAAAATAACAAAATAATAAAAAATCCAAAATAATTGTTAAAAGAGCAGATTAAAAATCACATTAACACACATTAATAGTGCACCAACAAACAAAGTTGCAGAGAAATGATGTTGAATATGTCGAATAAATTTGATAGCTATCAGCATAGTCTTGGTAGTAGTACTAATCTTTCGGCATCAATGTCAACAGCTTGTTCGGCTGAGTTAACTGCTGCAGCGGCGGCTGTGGCTGCGGCCGCTTCAAAAGCCGAACGTGAATCGATACATTCGGGACAATTTATGGTTTCGCATTTTGAAGCTGAAGAGGAAGCCCAAGATGATCTCGCCGATGCTGGTGATGCTGGTCTTATGATTGATCCAGATACGGAAGACTTAACAAAGCAAGATGAGTCCTATACTTGTATGGAAGTGCAATTGTATAGACCATTTAAAAAGTCACATCTACAGCGTGATGGAAATACATCAGTTGAGTTAATAACATCGCATCTAGAAATTGAAACATCATTAAGAAAACTCTTTAAATGCATGAATTTGGCTTATAGGTAGGTGTGAATACACTAAAAATATTATTTAAAATTAAGATTCATTCAATTATTTAACTAGTATTAAACATTTAATAATATGCTATCTATAAAATTCTTTAAAATTTTTTTAAAAAGTTAGTTTGAAAGACTAGCTTAATTTTTAAAAATTCGCCTCCTACCATTTTTTATATGTTGTATTTAATAAGTTTATGATTATGTTAGAATGAACTGAAAAAATTTTTTTCAAAAGATACAAATACAAGAAAGTTTGGGCGTCATATACAGGATATTACCAAGATATATGACATAAATCAGATAAATAATTGAGGTAGTTAAGGTGAAAGAGCACACTGCCAAAAATAGACGTGCAGTCAAAAACCCGTCACGTTTAATTCTATATTAATTTGAAGTCCGTTAAATACCATTTGATACGTAATATATCTTTATACTTCAATGGGTTCAGATATTCTGGTACATAGTTCAAAGTTCACTTGTGCGGTAAACCCAATTTAACGCAAATTTTTTTTTCTACATTTTTTTAACTGAGTTATCTTACAAATACTTTTTACCAGAGAAGTTTTCTAATATGACGCCGTTTTGTCTTCTAAAGCAGTAATTAATTGCTTTAGAGGAAAAAAAAATCAATTCCATCATTAACGCTCAGCAATGGAGCTTAGCAATTAGATATCAAAATAAACTGTTATTAAAGTAGATATACTGTTTTTACTTTTTCGATTGTATATCTTCAGGTTTCTTATAAATTTTGCATTGCCTGGGGTTTTTTTGTTTCAGACTTTGCATGGATGCACGCAATGTTAGTTAAGTAGTGAAACATTTGTGTGTCAAGAGCAGAGCATATGCTCCGAAATTTCAATGATAACTGCACAGAATCGACATATATATCAGTCTTAGGCATATATACTTATTAACGTGATACCACAGTTTGCGGTGACCTGTAAAATAACCAGATTAAATTTATCTAGCATTAATATTTTTCTGTTTAGAAACGAAATTCAAATCAAAAGTACTGATATTAGTTTAATATATGTAGATACGTAAAACTGATTGAGCGAATGCACCCATAGATCTTTTAGATCTGCAACGATACCAGGAAAGATGCAAAGTGGTTAAAGCGCGGTGTAGACTATCATTTTTGAGTGTCATTTAAGAGCGAAAATCAATGGATGACACTCAAAAATGATAGTCTGCACCTTTGAATGACTTGAATGACAGCTTCTTCCTAACATGTTGTAAATGATAATCTGTCACCCAAAAACTTGCATTCGTCATTCAAGAGATTTTTTTGTGTGGTTGCAAACACCCTTATTCTTCAAAAATTTTGCTTCAATAGCAAAGCTTGAATGTAAGCATGTTCAAGTTCAATCGCTAGAATAAATTTGACCAAGAGAGAGGGCAACTTTAATGACATTTAAAAATGATAGTTTGCACCACGCTTAAAGGAATTTATTAAGAGTATATATCACTTAAGATGTGTGAGTTATTAACGAATTTTGAAAGATAGTTGCATCCAGTATTAGAGATGAAGAAGAACCTCTCAAAAGAATTTCGTGATTTATTTTATTTGTCGATTCTGTGGCTGCTCATAATAGTTAATAGTTTAATTTGTTTTATGAATAACATTTTCTTAATTCAAATATATAAAATTTTTGGGTAGATTCATTTATATTTTATCTTTGAAAAGTTTACCAAAATACTTTACACTCAAAATATTTGATTTCACTTTATAGAAATAAGTTTTATACTAGCAAAAATGTGTTAAAGAAAACAAAACACGACTGATTCCAATTTCAGAACAATATAATAGTTATAGTTCCCAGTGTCACCTCCCAAATTCTCCAAGTTAACAAACAGATGTGTGACCTAGCTTTATTACAATGAAACATAATAATAGTTCTGATATCTGTTTTTTAATATCTTTCTCTAATCACATTAATTGCCATTATTGTTTTTGTATAGTTTATATAAAATATAAATCTTGTTGGTGTATATATTATCTTTTACAATTGCAATATGATTTCAAATTCATGCTTTCGACACTGTTTGTCTGTTCTCTCAAGCTTGTTGTGAAAGTCAACTTCTTCGAATTCCCTTACGTTTTGAGTGGACACATGTATATTTCTGTAAGTAGAATCTATATTTAGTTTTTTATGGATTTGAAGTCCACTACTTTTCATCTTTTTTCATCTTTTTCTGCTGTGAAGCCAGTATCAAAGCCAATTGCTCTTCAACGCGACTGTCATAGAAGTCATACGCTGCTTTTTGTATAATATTACATCCTATCCATCGGATTTGCTGTTATATCATTATTTTGTTGTATAATCATTTTATATTATAAACATATGGATAAAACTTGAAACCTAACTAGGTACTTTAAAATGATGTCTAACACAATAGTTTACAGAATATAAACTGAATATAAGAATTAAAAAAAAAAAATGTATTTGTTTACATTTTCATGAATTTAATAATTTTCTATATATTAATTTTATTGTTTACAAATAAATTTACTAATAATTGACTGTCATCTTATCATTTACAAACTACGCCACGTACTACAAATGTTTGTTTAGCATTGATTGCGATACTTTTTTCAATGCCAGTGTTTCAATTTACGTCATTTCACAGAATTTGTTGTTTTGCGTAGTTGAACATTTTTGCTTAAATCCGGGATATATAGTAGTTATGTCAATAATCCCAAACATGAACCTGTAACTGTGTAGATACCACTGACAGTATAAAATTAATTTGAAAGTCCTACTTTGTGATAATTTTTAAATTAAGCATATTTACATTTAATAATTTCACGAAGTTATCTACAATGAATGTGCCGAACTTTTTAATAAAATTGGGAAAAACTCAACGATATGCAGGCATCTGTATGCAATTTGGCCACGTTCCAATAAAAGGAAATCAAACTCTCTTATTGTAATGTCCCAGGTCATTGTATTTTAGAAAAACATGCTAGAAGACTAAATCTCCCTTTCAAACATACATGACGCAATTGTTGACATGACGATGACAGTGCTTCCCACCTGCTTTGCTTTTTTGATGATCTTAGCGAATTTCAGGACCTCCCTTTGTATAGCATCATAAGCTTTGCCAAAGATTCTATATGGTTTCAACCCTTGATTTTTTAATTATACGGTAACACAATGGGTTTATACTGCTAAGTGGATCCCTTGAAATCGTCGGTTTAACCTACCTATCTTCCTATCTACAAATCATAGTAAAAAAGTTTGATTAGCATTAGAGTGGTATATGAAATTATGTTCCTAAATACTATAATTTTAATAGATCTTTTGTATTGCAACAAAAACTAACAGAATAGAAAGAATTTTACTCGTTTGGCAAAGAAATTGAATACCTTTTGTTGAGGTAATAAAAAAGGAGTTGGTTATTATGAGTATTTTCAAAGAATTTCTACTGCAGATATCCATTCTGTAAGAATTCTTCTACAACATTTTGCATTAACTTTTTATGGCTAACAAAGCATAAGAGTGTGTTCACACGACATTAGTTAATGTTGATTAACTGCTCACTTGGCTTAATTTGATTATGTTGTTGTTGTTTGTTTGTTGTAATTTATTGTTTTCATACTAATTACTAAGTAAAAGTAATCTGGAGAATCAGATTTCGATTTTTTTTAGAGTTTTTTTTTATCTTCTTTGTGTTTACTTAAAATATAAAAGTATTTTTAAACAGTCAATTCTTTAATATCCCTTTATACATTGAAAAGTATTTTATATGTTTTCTAATTAAAGTATGTATTCTCTTGAAATGCTGATCACCGATAAATCAGGGAATTTAAATAAAATCAGTAGGGTGAAAAGTGATTTAAACTGAATTCAATTTTAACCTTTTATTAAATAAGGATGCCCTCTTCTTTTTCGGTATTAAATCTACTGAAGATATCTTATAGTGGTATGTTAAAGACAAGTACTGACCAAGTATCTTCTTGCTTGAACAGTAACTTAAAGTAACTTCAAAAGGTTCAGTCAATTTTGTTTGTTTGAGGATCGAGTTTTTGTGTTTTTTAAGTGATTCCAACTAATCTTGTCATGTTTTCAGAAAGTAATACAAAACTATATTAGTTAAATTTTATCGAATGTTGGCTGATACACGATAAAAAGAAAAAAGTTACTGTCTATTTTAATTTCACAAAATTTGTCAAATATTTGAAAAAATATTCTAAAGTTAATATATTTAAGTGAGAATCACAGTAGTAAGTAATTACCAGGAATTGATTTTGCGAATACGTTTATACTTCAATGGAGTACATTTGTATAGATCTTATATTCGACATTTTAAATATATTAAAATAGTTTTAGAATTCCATTTATCATCATACTTTTCTACACAGTTTATTATTAGTTTAATAGAATCGATTAAAAGTCAGAACTAGGAAGCTAATAATACAAAACAAAAAAGGCATCCGACTTGTCACAGTGTTTCTCACTGGACATTGTGTAGTCAAAAATAGTCTATCGAATGTAGGGACGATAGCTGCAAACTTTGTGTGATAGAAAAGGAAACAGCAGAACACAGTCTGTGTCACTGTGATGGTCTTGCCAGAATCAGACTTCGGTACTTAACAACTGTCTATCCACTTATACGCCTAGTTCCATAGCGCGTAGCAGTTAAAAATGCCATTATGTGCCTTGGAGAGATGTTGCCTATTGATATTGAATATTGCGGAGTCAAAAAATATCTGTCGAAACTAGGTATTACAAGGAACGATAGCAGACTTTGTTGTGAAAAAGAGAAAACATCAGAACACATTCTGTGTCACTGTGATAGTGTTGCTAAACTGAAACTTCTGTACTTATCAATTGCCTATCCACTTATACGCCTAGTTCCATAAGCGTGTAACAGTTAAAAATGTCTTTATATTAATAGGCAACATCTCTTCAAGGGACGTAATGACATTTTTAACTGCTATGCGCTTATGGAACTAGTTCTCTACCCTTTCAAAATCTATCTATCTATCTATTGGTTTAATATATTATGTATTGTATTTCAATGAAATAAGATTCTAGTATTGCCAAATAAATTTTTTCATTGGAATTTCGTAAATCCATTGGAATTTCGTAATTACAGTGGAACAGGCACTTTTCTGTTTTATACATATAATAAGTACACGTAGTTTTATATATCAAAACAAAGTGCTTGTATTATGGAAAATTCCTTTTCAACTAAGATGTTCTTACATTAATACAATAACAATCTCAAAGATTATCGTTGTACTGATTATTTCATCTGAGTCAATTTGTAATGAGCTTTATTCTAATGTAATATAATATTATATTCAATATTTATAAATATATATATATATATATATATATATATGTGTGTGTATGTATATAATTATTTCTAATCGAAATCGTAGAGGCCCCAAGTATCTTAAAATAGATTTTTTCAAACGTTGAGTTAACATAGGTGACCACAGAGATAACAGATACAAATCTCTGTGTGAATTTTATTTTAGTAAACAAATTAATTATTTTTATGCAGGAATTGATTAAATGCGACGCGGTTAAATTGACCCAATTTTGAAATAATATTTCTTAATTACACCAAAATATATAAAAATGGATTTCGTATATATTGTAAATGTCTGTCTGTCAGTCTGTCTGTCTGTCAGTCTGTCTGTCTGTATTTAGATGTATATATGTCGTTGAATAGTTTTTCTTTCATTTACGCCATACAGTTTTGTTTGAGAAATCTTTGCTATGCATTTTTGGATGGCACATGATACTGTCGTGATAAGACTTAGGTTGCAAAAGACTTCGAGTTTAAAAATTTTTGCATTGATCAGCGAAAATCAACTTTGCTGAGAATTTTACATGTTGATCTTTGCACTTGAAATTTTCAATTTTTAATTTCCATATCTAAATTTTAATTTATGAATTAATTTTTTTTTTCAACTTTTTTTTTGCGGCACAAAATTGGATTCAAACTAACTATTAAATAAAACCATTAAAATTATTATGATTAATGCGAACACAAATTAAATACATTGTTCAATACACAAACAATTGTATTATTTATGAGTAGCCAAAATATTTATTAAAACTTTTATTTTTCTATTTTTTGCCACTTCACTAATTAAAAAGCTTGCTTTCCATCTGTCGTTCGTAATTGCTTATCTAGAAAACAAATCATATTAAAGATTTTATTTCTTATCATAACCAGTAAAGCAGTATAAAATAGCGCTCGTCTAAAATAGGTGTGACTCCCTAAAATCAAAATACGTTATCAAGTAAAATTATTTTAACATTCAAATCTTTGTTTAGATATGAAATTTAATAAATTTTGGAATACCTAATAAATATTAACATGTTTACAAGCATAAGTCTACATAGGCATTAACATAATGTATCGAGAACTCAAGTATTAATCTATGGCCGCATATTTTTGGCAATACAAATTGATCTTTTTATTAATTGTTTTCAGTTTATATACTTTTTTATATTAATAATTTTGCTTTTGCTAAACATATATAAAAAAAAACATATACAAATATAACATTCACTCTTCTATATAAGTGGGTTAATATACTGGACCCACTTTTCATCTCACAAAAATAAGATATAAGTGCTGAATTCGACTGGACTTGACGATTTTATACAGCCTTGCGAATAAAATTACATATTTAATTAAAATTTAATTTATTTTATATCAAAATTTGCTTTTGAAATGAAAAGAAAGTGTGTTTCCAATCATAAGTAATCTTAAATTTCATTAAATTTAATAATAAAATCTTAATTTAAAAGAAGTGTGGCTACCTAAATTAAAAATTATCATGACTCAAATCTTATTTATCACAAAAGTATAAAATGTCACAGCATTATATATCCCGACAGAGTACATATTAAATTTAAATTTAAAAAAAAAAATTTAATTAAATAAAAAAATTATATTTATTATTATTATTAAAATTATTGACGTGAAATCGTCCAACAGTCGGTACTGCGGTCAGAGTAATCCTATTGTAGCAATTTCACTATTGATTACACAAAGCCCTTTAACGCTTTATAAACAAAGTCCAGAACTAAATCTAGAGAAGAGCTCTTAAACTGTTCTGGTGACAGAAACTCCATATGAAATAAGTTTTTTCTGTGCGTTGTTAAAGCTGGACAATCACAAAGAATGTGCATGTTCGTTTCCTCATCTTCGAGGCATAATCTGCATTCCAAATTAGCAGATAATCATATTTTGAGAAGGTGATATTTCAGATCATAAAGACCCGTGCAAAAACCTGTTTACAACCTTAAATTACCTTTTGAGAATTTAAGAATGTTTTTGTAAGAATACAGTTTGATCAGTGCTTTACTTTGTTTAAGGCTTGGAAAGCCTCTCATTGATTATTTGTTTTCTACTGGCTCAGTTTAACCCACAAAAGGTTGAAGGCCTGTAATATGCATTTATGGGTAGTACATCAGCTTATTTACCAAAATTTCTCTGTGACTCGGAATCTAGTAAAGACACCTTATTCTGAGTTGCAAATAACTGTAGAAGCTTATAACATTAAAGGACTTATTTCTACTTGAAAATACAAGAAGAGAGAGCTTTTAGAGCAACCTGACTATCAGAGTAAATAACAATTCTCGAGCCAGACTGTTTTTTGCTGATATTAGAAAATCATGTTTAATAAGCATTTAATCAAAAAAAACGTGCCAATACCATATCGGCTTAAGAGCTAATACCCGGTCTTATCCCTTACCATAATTGATTCGTTGTTGTAACATTCTGATATTAAGTAATTCACATAGCCTCGATAAAATTCTACTAGTCAGTATAGTTCTCAACTAAATAGCTCCTAAATAGCTTCTCTTTTTTCTCTATGTTAATTGAAAATTGAAGATCTCACAAATTAAATTTGTTTTATCTATATATAGATTTTAATCTCACTGTACAATGAAATAAATAATTTTTCCATATAAAGTTGATCATTTGAACTAAGTCGAACTAAATGTGCATACATATGTATTATATTGATAAATTCATTTTCTATTGTTTTGTAATAATTTGTTTGGCATGATTCCAAATTTCCGAGCACGCCCATATAATAAAGAAATTTAGTAAAGAAAGCTATTTTGAACAAATTTTTTTCACTTCGCTATATATCAATATAGCTATGTTTTTAAGATATTGGGCTTTAAGGTTGCAAATTTTTAAATGAAAAATTTTTTTAAAAATTACATATATACATACTTATTAATGCTAGATAGTATGTGTGGTTTTTGTTAGTGTTAGTCAGTGTAAATGTAAAAAATTTGCAACTCTAAACATCGATATGTCGAGAAGTAAACTATATCGACAATTATAGTTTTTCAAAAGTTTCCAGGCACCTCGATTTGGAACGTAATTTTAGTAGAATCAGTTATGTCGAGAAGTAAACTATATCGGCTATTATAGTTCCTCAAAAGTTCCCAGGCACCTCGATTTAAAAACGAATTTAAGTAGAGTCAGCTATCGGCAATTATAGTTCCTCAAAAGTTCTCAGGCACCTCGATTTGGAAGGTAATTTTAGTAGAGTCAGCTATGTCGAGAAGTGAACTATATCGGCAATTATAGTTTCTTAAAAGTTCCAACACACTTCAATTTGAAAACGAATTTTAGTAGAGCCAGCCACGTCTAGAAGTAAACTATATCGGCAATTACAACTCCTCAAAATTGTTGACACTACTAAAATTGGTTTTCAAATCAAAGTGACTGAAAAATCGGGATCATATAATATGTAATATTAACTTATAAGCTTTATCTTTAAAAAAAATCAATGCATTGACAATATTTTGGTTCATTTAATTTCCTCTTTTAACATTAACAATTTTTTATGTGATGTTCTTCAGAGAAAAGCAAACTATGGGTTTCTTACTTTAATTCATTTTTTCTTCGTTCTAAAATTATATTTCATTTTATTTTTTCCTGCAAATTGTGCAACTAACCATAGATTCTCATTGCTAATAGTATTTATTTGGATACACTGAACCACAAAATTGAATTTATATTAATTATTTTGCTCATCATAAGCAGCGAATAAACAGTCCTCAACTCAGCTCAAATGTATGCGTTATAACAGCAATAAAAATAATATTCTCTTTTTTTTTTTATATACATTTTTGTCTGTTGTTATTGTTGTTGTATTTCTTGTAGCTGGAAAGCAAATTTATTGCTTTTTAATTAAATTACATCATTTAAAAAAATATGTTATATTTCTGATTTAATTGTTACAATCAATAAAATTAAATTAAAAATAATAAATAAATCAAAAAGTAGAATAAAAAAGCAATAATAAAAGCTGCACTTATTTGGGGTTTCGAAACCTAGAACTACAGGTTTCAGTCATTTGCTCTTAGTTGGTTTTGTCATTATTTTTCTTGAGATTAAATGCTGAAGAGTCTTTACATTATGTAGATAGATGATGGTCGATGGCGTATACGAGGGATACTTTGCTATTTATGCTCTCCTAGAATAGCTCAAGGGATTTTTAAGTTAGTATATTACATTAAATGTTTTTCAATTAAATTTTTTCCTATAAACTTTGAATTCATTTTCAAAAACTTCTCTTAAATGAGTCACTGTATAAGCGACTGTTGCTGATATTAGTGACAACTTGTCTCACTAACAGATGCAGCTCACTAACATCCTTCATGTTGGCCCATATCGTATTATTTTTTTAATTCAATTATTGAAATATAAATATATACATACAAATATATTCAGTTTGTATTGCAGACAATTTAATGTCTGAAATGATTATTTTATTGAAAGATGCTGAGGATTTTTTATTTATAAATATTTTATTGTTTATGTAAGCTTGCATAATACTTTTTCATTTTAATTTATAAACTAAATCAAAATTTTTTTGTTATTTGTAGTCAAAAACTTACATCGCCTAAATGGAATCACTTCAAAGGTATACGACTGCGATGGAAGGAAAAAATTCGTTTAAACAACGTGATCTGGAGATGTTGGCACATGCAGTGTAAGTACTTCACGTTTTATTACTACACACTTAACGATTTAAGTATGCATTTAATTCGAAATCACAACAAACTGATAATGTTATTAGATTATAAATTAAATGTGATGCAAAAAGTATTTTAAATAGAAAAGGGGTAAATATCAATGAATCACAACAGCAGAACTTTATAACGTTGGTCTAGGTGTCTAAGACGTAAGTTTAAGCTTTAAAGTTGGCTAGGATTCGAGTTCAACATTGTAAAATTAAATTATATAAATTATAAACAATAATTAAATCCAAAAAATATTTTCAAACACCACTTATGATGAGTACTTATCACCCGAACTAGTTGTATGGTCCACTAAAACATTTAATTAATAAAAAATCAAATTTTGGTTGCTGTAACTCATTGCTATAATATTAAGAGTAAAATATTGATCATATTAATTTTCTTTCACAAGGATAGTAGACAAAGATAACAAAGGTTGACTACTCACTTCTCCTGGTAAAATCTTTGAGGGCATCACAATGGGCAATAAATACCTCCGAATGGAGGTGCTGATAACTCTCAGCACGCGACTTCTCAACCTAACCTAATTTACTTTTATTTTACAAAAATAATATCGGTTATCTAATATTGTTCATTTTTTTTTATTCATCTCTTACCCAATATCACAAGAACCATATAACACCAGCAAGAAAGTTGAACTTTATTTTAAAACCAACTGTATATAATGATTTGTCTAGTCTATCTTTTAAAAGCCTTTTACATATTTTAATTGTATTTTTCAGTGATAGAATAAAATCAAGTAAACAAGTTTTTTGCAGTTGATTAATACAGATTACCCTTTACCTATAAAAAGTATGACGTTTTTCCATTTATTGCAATAAAATTGTAATAATACTTACTTACTTACGCTTTTTTCTCAAGCGCGCCATCTTTAGTCGCGTACTTCAAGCACGGTTCGTGTTTCCTCAACTTAATCACGTCACCGGAGACACAGTGTATCCCTACATTTTCTTTCTCAAACTGATTACAAACATGATCTTCGCTAAAACATCCTTTTCCATTCTCACGACCTGAGTGACCAAGACAGCGAAGTCGCTGAATGTTATTTTGCAGAATGAAATCTACTTCCTAATAAATATCAAACAATTTGTGGTTTATTCGGATACCGTAGTTGTTGCTAATTATTACAGGACCAAAGATCTGATAAAGAATTTTTTCTTAAACACTGATATAACATTTTGTAATAGCGTATATGTTTCTGCACCATACGGAAGCATAGCTAGGATGAACGACCTATTCAACCTAAGTTTTGTCGCTCATGAGAGAAACCTCTACATATCAATTGTATATTAAGACCATTATTTTACATTATATATTTTGCATGTACATTATATATATATTATATATATATTATGTTATGTATTATATTATGTATTATATTACATTACCTTTTGTTAGTGATAATTTTTCATTGAAATCAGTTGTTGTTAGTGACTACTGTGCCCAGATAGATAAAATCCTTGAGAACTTCTAAAGTATGGTCGTCAACAACCAGCTATTTCCAGCGCTGCATATTTATTCTAGTAACCGATTTTTTATATACATAATTTTTTATTAACTTTAAAATTAGGGAATTTTTGTATTAAAAATATCATATTTTTTTCTTTCATAGTTTGAGTAACTTTAATACAATGGTATAAAGATATATATATATACTTATAGAGCGAAGGACCTAGCAGTCCAGTTCCTTGTTCTTAGTTAACTTTAAAATAAATTTAATGTTAAGTCACAAATAAATAAATAAATAAATAAATATAGATGCTTATAGGTATATAAATTTAAAATTTTAGTGGCACGTGTTCGTAGAAAGCAAAATCATCGGAGCAAAAAAGTCTTTCACATTTGTTATGACTTAGATTAATTGAATTGTATGCTTTTGAAAAAAATTCTTTACCAAATATCGATAATAAGCTAATTTTACTTTTTAAATAAAGTTGAAAGTTCTTGAAAATTTATAATACAAAATTGATGTTATCAAATTATACCTGATATAGTTGCTTAGTCATACATTTTAATTTTTCATTTTTATTTAAGTAATAATGTAGTATTGATTTATTTAGGGTAATGCGCGTAAATATCAAATATTCACCTTAACATTTTCTTTTATTTCTTTTATAAAAGAATATGCATTTACAGGGTGCCCAATTGATAACCAACTTTGTTATAACTTTTAAATTGATGGCGGCAATGCGTCTATCACAACTCCTAAGAAATCTGTGATGTCTGTGATGAATTTCAAATAAATAGTGTGATACCACTATGATATATTTAAACGTAAATCTACAAAAGACTGTGGTTAAATCAATCCAGCAACACAATGAGAATATATCTTTTGTGTCAAGATATCATCTAATACAATGTTTTTCAACCACTAGCATACGGTACCGTTTCGTAAAATATTTTATTTTTATGGTTTACGATATTATTTTTTAGAGAAATATTGGTACCGGTCTTTACAAATCATATTAAGCAAAAAAATATAGATCATTTTGTGTTGAAAAACAGCACTAGGTGAATTGATACTTACCTGGATTCACAACAGGTAGCAACGCCTGTTGCTACCATTTGGAAATTTTTTAACGACATCTGTAAAAGTTTGGACTTTATCAGATGTTCGGTTAGCATTTTACAAATAATTGAAATAGTGCACCTTGGTGATTTTTTATTATATGAAAAAAATTAAATATCGTTGAATAACAAAATTCCTCCATCCGGAAGGAATGGACGATGATGTAATCAAATTGGAAATGGTTTCTGTTTACGACAACTTTGCACCATGCACCATCGTTAACAATAAAATACGAGTGTTTTTGATGAAGATCGTCCAGGTCGTCCAAAACTGATAAAAACATTGAAAAAATCTACAATATTGTGGATATTCAGATTATCCAAAAATTAAATTGCATGAGATAGCAGATAGCAGATATGACAAATATATCATATGAACGTGTATCGAATATTTTACATGAATATTTGGGTATGAAAAAGCTTCCGGCAAGATAGGTATGGGTGACGCGTTTGCTTACAACTATCCAAAAATAACAACGACAACGACTTCGTCATTCAAAACGTTGTTTGGAAATGTTTATGTACAATATAGTTGACTATGAGCGTCGAGTATGATGAAACATAGATCTATTACTTCACACCTGAGAGAAAACAACAAGCCAGAGAATGGGTAGAGACAGGAAGTAGTGCTACCAAATGACCACGAACTCATCCATATTTTGGGATTCAAGTAGAATAATTTTCATAGACTATTTAAATAAACGAAAAACAATAATATCAAATTACTATTGCATATTATTAGATCGGTTGAATTAGGAAATCAAAAAAACAAAGCCACATTTGTCCGAAAAAAAATTTTTGTTTTTGCAGGATAACGAACTCGCTCACACGTTAATGAAAACCATAGCAAAATTAAATAAATGACGGCCGCGTTCTCCAGATTTGACTCTCAGTGACTATTACCTGTTTCCAAATTTGAAAAGAGTGCTCCAGGAAAATAGATTTGCATCAAATGCTAAAGTGAAGTGGGAAACAAGTATATTTTGGAGGCATTGATAAATCGTAATTAAAAGTTTACTAAATGTTAAAAGATCGTTGGACTCGATATGTCGAGCTAAAAGGAGACTGTATTGCTGTATAAAATATAATATAAATAATAATTTTCCAAAAAAAATGCTTTATTATTACTTAGACCGGGTATATATTTATCACCTAGTAGTCTAGTACATTATAACAAAACTAGCAGTGTTGCAAAACACTATGACATTAGACAGAAAATTCTAGATATAAGTCGGAAAGTTATGACTTGAGACTAGTTATGACAAAATGCGCTCTGGTATAGGATTTCATTCATTAATTACACAGATATGGTTGGTTGACAATTTCGTTTTGGCTTAAGTTCGCTTAAGTTCTTACGGTACATACCGACTAACTAGGCTTTTAGTTTGTCACATATTTATTTTGAAGAGTTGCTTTTTAATCAAGTCGGTCTTTATTTTCATGAAGTAAAACTTTTATTTAGTGCCTCCCTATATATTTTTTTCATTTTACTGCAACTTATGATAAGTCGTTGTTTAATTAGGCCACCCTATATTTTGCCTGTAGTCCTTTTCTTCATGAAATAAGATTTTTATTCAATGTTTCTTTTTTTTTTGCATTCCTATGCCATATATCCATTCTGAAGAGTCACTATTCAATCGGACCACTGAAAATTTTTTTGGCGGTCGCTTTCTTTTCAAGCAGTAAGACTTTTATTTAGTGCTTTTTTATTTTATTTCTATGTAATATCACAGGAAATAGTGTATTGTAAGTTTCGGACCACTCAAAATTTTTCTGGTGTTTCCTTTCTTTTCAAGCAGTAAGACTTTTATTAAGTGTTTTTTTATTTTTTTTCTATATAATATCACAGGAAATAGTGTACTGTAGGTATCGGACCACTCCAAATTTTTTGGCGGTCGGTTTCTCTTCATGCAGTAAGACTTTTATTACGTGCTTTTTTATTTCATTTTTTTGTATTATCATAGGAAATAGTGTATTGTAGGTGTCGGACCACTCCAAATTTTTCTGGTGGTCCCTTTCTCTTCACGCAACAAGACTTTTATTTAGTGCTTTTTTATTTCATTTCCCTGTAACATCGCAGGAAATAATATATTGTGAATTCTGTTTAGAATTTAATTATTATTAATAACTAGACTGAATGATTTTATAGTGCTTACGCTCGATAGCGCTAATACGATATTTGCCACAGTTCTAGCTAAGTTAGTGAGAAAGTACAAGTGAGAAAATTCATTCTCTTCATGCAGCATTTCTCACATTAGTCGAGAGCCAGCCATTATTTTTCGTAAAGATAATGAGTAAAGGGGGAACTGGTCGAAACCTACAAAACTTTATGTGCCTCATTATTGGCACAATATATTTTTTAGTACAAATTTTGTTCTTGTCCATAAATTTATTATTATTATTATTTGCTGTTATATTTGTTGTTCTTATTATGATTACGACTTTTGTGATTTTGTGATGTTGATTTTTTTAATTTTGCACACATATTTTGTGATTTTTTTCACCATTTTTGGCTTATTATATGAATTACTCTCCATACTAACGCGTTATCAAACTCACTTATCTTGTCCACATTTTATAAGTTTATTATATTTATTATTAATATTTTTTGTTGTATTTAAAATTGTTAGAAAAACACTTCCATTTCTGCTTAATTTATATTGTTATATATAGATATAGTTATGTACTTTATTTATTTCATATATATATAGAATGTCTTAAAAAATTTCACTTAGCTGCCATCCTCTGGCAAGTCAGCACATAATCAAATTTAAATTCGCGCGCCGTTTTTTTTTTTTTTTGTTTTTGTTTTGCATTTAAACAATTTTATTTCTTAAAAAATAAAAAAAAATGCAATAATTTTATAGTTTTATTCCAAGTGTTAATACGTCATTATAACAACATTTGTATATACATATATATTTTATATAAATATTTCATATACATATATACCATATATCTATACACTCTTTTCTGACTGCATCCAGTACGTTTGAGTGTCAGTAAACAACGAGCGTGATTTTTTTAAGTGTTGTGATTAGTTGTTGATTTTGTTCAGTTTTTTTTTTAAGTGTAGTTAAATTTTTTTTTTCAAAAAGATTTATTTTAAATTATTTTTTTTTTAAAATGTTAAAAACTGGCACTGTCTTCTGCATTTTACGTAGAAGTCGTTATAAACGTGCAAATGGAAAATTTTAGGTGATTTAAACTCTATAAATTTAAAAACATTTTTATATATGCAAATATTCATACATTTATATAATTATATTATACATATATATATTATTAAAATTTACAACTTGCTTGTAAGTGTTTACAAATTATACAGCTAATCATAAACTTTTATCTCTATCATTGCAGTTATCTTAAAACGCAGAACTCCGGTGTGCCAATTCGCATCACCCTTGGACGTTGATATACATAGTAATCCACAAGTAAGTTAACTAAAAACTATTAAATACAATAATTTCATTTATAAATACAATTACATTTTTTTATATTAATTTAAAATTGATTTTTAATTTTTTGTTCATATATTTCAAACATGAACCAGAAAGGACCAAAATGCATTTAATTCAAGTAATTCAAGTGATTTCTTAGCCCAAAAGGCAAAGAGGATTGTCCATTCCAATATTTATCTATAAACAACTAATGAAACAATTCTTTTTGAAAACACATTGTCACACTGTCGTTCCAATTATATTAAAAGATTTTATAATACAAGTTACGTTCTAGAGATCAAACAGGAGGTGTTTTTAGAAAAAAACAACAACAAACATTTATTTGAAAAAAATTCTTAGTTTCCTATTAAATCCATACTTAAATTTTCATCATTAAACCATATATCGATTGAATGTTTCATATCATCGACCAGGATATCCTTTATAATATTATTACAGATATTTCAAGTGGCGTCTATAATATGTTCATAAAACGTTTTCCTTTAAATAGAATTGAATTTTTGTGGAAATGTAGAAATTGATATTTACGATTTATTCAATTTTCAGTAGATGGTTTCACTACTTAGTATTTATTTATGTGCCCAATCTACAGCTCCCCATACCGAACTGGAAATTTGTAACCGTCATGCCCAAATAATAGTTACAAAGCCATGCCCTCAGTATATCGCTAAATAGCGATACCCGGATACAGCGATGGCTAGTCACCGGATATTAGCACCGTGAAATATCTAACAAAAAAAATTATTAAAAAAGTTATACTTAACCCTGTTCTATCTTCTATATTGATGGCATTTATAATTACATTAAAAATACTGATTAGAAAGTAGTAATAATAGAATATTTAATACATAAATAATGATTAAAAATAATAATACTTGTACTATATAAATAAATAAATAATAATAATAGAATATTTAATACTTGAATAATGTTAAACAATGATATTGATTATAAAATACAAATATAATTATAATAGTGCTATATAAATAAATAAATAAATAAATATTTATTTTTAAGGAGTAATGTTTATTTTCGAACATATCTTAAAGAATATGATTTTCTGAAACTATAGTTAAATAACTGTTATTTATTATTAAAATTATTTATAATTTGGAAAATTATATCTTATTTTTTTTTTATTGGATTTATAGTATAATTATCCTATTTTTGTTTGATACTTGATTTATTTGGCGTTCGACAAATAATTCATACCTATAGATTTATATAACTGTATAACTGTATATATATAACTGTTTATATAACTATTTTTAATAAGAAGTCAGTCCACTTATTGAAAAATATCAATATCTGTTAATAATGAAACTAGTTTCCTAGTTCTCAAATTTATCGAATGAAACTTTTTATATAAGCCTTTTATGAACCCAAACAGATTGAATTGATATATGGTATAGTTGAAATCGGTTAATAGACTCCATACCTATCTGTCTGATTCTACTTTTTGAATTAAGCGAATATAATTTCGTACAGAAACTTTTTGAATCTAAGTAAATGTTATTGTTGTTGCATTAACCCGCTGGGACCTCTAGGCACATGACATGAAAGGCTATACAAGACGATTACATGGGTGGGGAACTGAATGGGTAGTGGTTGGGGATGATGGAAGAGGAAATGAGGATAAGGGGTTTATTGGGTGTCTGTTAATTAGTTATACAGTTCTTAAATTAATTAAATGTTGCTTTGTACAGAAATTTTTAGTGAACTCGATTATATTATAATATACGCTATACTACTGCATATGTTTGTCTGTTAGTCTATTAATTAGTCTCTAAGTTTGTACAACAATCTTTTGCGAATATAGTTACATTAAAGTGAAAAATCAAAAGCAATGACTGTAAGATACTAAGGCTGTCTTCCAGTTTTTTAATTTTTAAAATAATAAAAATTTATAAAACTTTCCTTTTAATTTTTTATGCATTTATTCGTATTTTTCTCTCTCCCTTTCTCTCTCTCTCTCTCTCTTTCTCTCTCTCTCTCTCTCTCTCTCTCTCTCTCTCTCTCTTTCTCTCTCCTCTCTCTCTATTGCTCTTATTCTCCTCTTGAAGATAATGAAATTAATGATTTAAGTACTCAAAAATAAAATGAATTTATTTATGGTGCCAACAGTTGTATGATTTATGCAGAATAAGAATTCCACCCTAAAAATAATAATCTAGACAATTAATATGATCAGACTTCGATACTTATCAACTACCTATCCATTTATAACAAAATTAGACAACATCTCTCCAAAGAACATAATGGCGTTTCTAACTTCTACTCATCTATGGAACTAAAGTGGGTAAGTGGGTACAATAATATTTAAAGGATGCAGTGACGTAGTGACAAGTTTCCAACCCATTTTTAAATCTAATATGATCTTTCCATATTCCATATTTAAAGTGAAAAACTTTCTAGTGATTGTATGAAATAGCAAATTGTTTGAGATAGATTCTTTTTCTAGACAGATTCTTTTTCTGCTCTCTTTGATTTTGTTCACACAAACTATCCATCTGATAGCCTTTGTAGAATTATTTCGATAAGAAGCTGATAACATTTTTCAACTACAATAATCACATATATACAGATTTCTAAAAACGTGTTCTATACATTTATTTATTAAAATGTTAAGGAGAAAATATTTATAGACATATAAAGGCATGTCATATAAGCGATATATAACTATCACCATTCAATATAAGATGGTCTATAGGACTCTAAACCACTAAACTTTAAGTATATTAAATGTAAATGATATTAAATGATTCATATATAATATAGACATATTTGTCATATTTTGTCATATAATTTTACTGGACTTTTATACAATACTATTTTGATTCAAATTTTATTCAAATTTTGAGTTGAATACAAATTATTTCCTAAAGATGGATATGCCAATTGAGATTTGATTATTGCGTCATTGAAACCGCACGTTTCAATCACGAGTTCTTATCTAATAAGGTCTAATAAAATGTTATTTTTTTATGGATAAGTGGTTCATATTTTACGTTATGGGGTTTGAATGACGAGTAAACATATTTACTTGTTGTTTTGTTATTATTTTATAAGTTCATCTAATCTCTTAAATATGTACACTTGTCTGAAATAAATTGTTCAGAAATTACTAATTTGCAAAATACTTTTCATTGTTTTCATTCAAGAAATCTCTTATATAGAAATTTGTATTTTCTTTGTTCTATATTAGAATAGATTGGAAACTTTGCCCCAAAAAAACAGAAAGAGTGTTGTATGCCTAATACATATAAAGATTTTGTATTAAACTTTTTCCCTAATGCAACACATAGGAAAAAATTCTAGATATAAAAGATATTTCTTTTACAACAAAATTTTTTTCTATATTACATATAGAATTATATACTCTATATAGACCAATTAGATTATTTGCGGTATGTTAATCTCTATTTGTTGCACACGGTAAACATGTCGGTAGCATTATTTGGATTCTCCGTATAAGACTATATCATTGATGTAAAAGTCTTGTGTATTTTTCTCATGTAAATATATAGCATATGATACTCTATAATTTTAGTTTTTTAGGATTGACAAAAGTTAGTCTTTGTGCTCTAACAAAGCCTCTCTCTCTGCTTAGGAAGCTCAGAAGCCAAATAATTGCTATTGTAAATGTGTTTGCAACTTATGAGTGACTTTTACTCTCTGTACGTTTTATGGATAAAAGCATAATAATTTAGAAGCTGGTTCTGTTACAACTAAGTCGGATTTGTACTGCTTTTTATGTACTTCATCCAATGGTTGATGGTTTATCATAATTACCGATGTTGTTTAAGAGGTCCCTATTTCTTCCCGGTTTTTTTTTTGTTTTTTGTAACAAAATGTCGTTTGCTATTTGGGAGTTCTCTTATTTGATGTGTTATTATAGCTGGAATCATTATGAATAAACTTCATTTTTATATCATTTATTACACTTCAAGTAATCATCGTAATTGAATTTTTTTCGGAATTACCGTAGTATCCCATCTCGTCTCCTTTTTTTCAATATTTAGTACTTGAATGTGTAATGAATCTGGTGGAAGTATATGGAAACTTAAAAAAAGGTGAGTGCAATCAGTTGGGATTTGGTTTGGTTTTTCTACCATATTTCTGAACTGAATGTAATTGCTCGTTACGTCCATTTTGTTTTGGCAGTATAACACCGTATTTATTTTTACTCGAGTCTGTATATATTTCGGTGTATGTATTCAGGTCATAAATCTTTAGAACTGATGGATTGGCTAGTGTCGTATTTTTTATGTTTGCAGTAAAAATTACATATGGAACGCAACGACTGAAACATATAGTCTGTCGTAGATAACGCTGGAGCTCTTTTTGATATTATTATAGCGATTGAAAGTCGTCTATTAACTCCATTTTTTTTTAATCTAATTTACCCTACTCGAAATTCTGGTAAATACCAACATTCGTTGCCATACCGTTGCCATAACATTCGTTGCATAATTTACTATTTCCCTCAATTTACCATCAATTTACTCGAACTCGCACACGGCCTATATATAAAATTAAAAAAAATTATTTAAGAAACTTCAGAAATTTGGACAGGCTTAAGTAAAATCTAACAAAACCGTTATTCTATATTAGTAGAATATATATCGAATAAAGAATTAACACACTGTAAAATAGGTTCAATACCACAACTCCTTCAGGTAAATCGAGTTAGAGAACCAATCTAAATTTATTAAATAATAATGTAGCTATAATAAGAAAATGATATAATTTTTTGAATTAACTAATAATAGTTATTTGCAATAAATAGTTTTTATTCCCTATAAGATACTTTCTATTTGTCTGTCCGTCCAATAGTCTTAATACCAAGCAACATTACAGATCTTGTTATTCGGTCAAAAGCAACAATTTCATTTTATTATGTCTAAAGTACAAAAGGTTTAAGTATATTATAGACGTCACTAAAAAGCAAACTCGTAAACGTGAATTCTTAT